GGGAAAGAGATGGGAAAAAAAATTGTCCGGTATGAGAAAAAGAGGAAAGAAATATAGGGAAAAAGAGAAGAAAAAAAAAAGAAGAAAGTAAGTAAGAAATAGAATATTAATGGAGTTGTTTGATATGAGAGAAATAGAGAAGTTGAATTTTTAAAATTAAAGAATTATAGTAATTAAATATTATAATAGTAATGACCCAATAAAAAGGCTATGATTTTTTAATCAAATATGTTGGTCTTTCAAGAATAATACATGATTTTTTTTTTACAAGAGCATTACATGATTAGTAAGATATGATGGTTTTTTTACAAGAACACTTGAAGCTAAATATATAACTTACCTATATTAAAATCTAATAAGAGGAGAAATGAGCTAGATTTAGAGAGGAGAATGTTACATACCTAAAGAAAAGGTTGTTCTCAACAAAGAAATCAAAATGGAGCTTGAGACAAAAGTTGCCTCCAAGAAGAGATTGAGAAAAAAAAAAACTCATAGGTGTTATGTACAATTGTGTACCATAAAAGGGTATTTTAGTTTTTTCTAACATTTTAAGTCATAGATTCTATGCACTTCTCCTCATATTAGAAGGAGAGTTTTTTCACATAAGACTTACACATATTTGAATTGGACTCTCTCTTCTTCTCTCTTTCTAAAGATATTCAAAGCATGTTTGGAATTCATTTTGAATTCAAATTGACGTAAATTTTCAAAAACAAGTATATATAGCTTATGCATCAATTATAACAATTTGACTTGAATACATAGGTGGATGTGGGTCATAAAATCATATTCAAACACACTATCAATATTTTAACTTCCTTCCACTTTCTTACTCTTCCATTCATTTTTTCATCAATTTCCCTTTTCCCAAATAGAGTGTAAGAGATATTGTATTTAGTTATCAATATCTTTTTTCAACACATTTTTTTAATAAATTAATAAATGATCCCTATATTTAAACTTTGTTGAGCTTTTTCTAGACTATTTTCTTTTAATTATCAATACTAGATATTTGATTTAGTTTCATTTTCTTTAATCCGAGAATACATTTCAATACGATCTAAAAATCACATATTTAATCAATTCCTTTAGACCTTCACCAGTCTATATCTTTTATAATTAGTAAGTTTTGGCACAATTTTTTCCTATTGGGTAAAACATTTTAGAAAATTCTATTATTATTATTATTATTATTTATAATCATACTTATTTATATTTTAAAACAGGTATAAGTTATAGTCTAACATTTAATACATTGAATTTAATGCACTTATTAAAACTACACGTGTTTTGTGGCAAAACCATTTATTTTCTATTAATCATATATTTATTATATGTTTATTTACACAATGGAAAAGAATATATTCATTAATTAATATTAATACCATAACATTTAATAAGTTATTATATAGAAACTTCTGAATAATACACTGGAGCTGTATTTTTTTAAAGATTTATTACATTTTTTTTAATAAAGCACATGGTGGAAAAAAAAAGTTTACGATTATTTTTTATAATAGGTTTTAAATTACTTAGACATCATTATATGCATGATACAAATTATGGGGATTTTTTTTTTAATGATTTGAAATGTCTCACTCCCTATAACTTTTATAATATTGTCATGACTTTTCAAACTTTTCAAAACTTGAAAATAGTTAACACTGATATGACCAAAAGTCAAATCAATACCTTTATCGGTATCAGCTTCTTTGTATATTCTTACATTTTTTTTTTTACAGAATGGCTCGAAGAATTTCTCTTTAACATTGTTCCTGGCAAATAGATTGGAAGATCAAAGTTTGTGTAATACGATTGTGGAAAGTTCCTAATTACCATAATCACATGTTAAGAAGTAGTATTGAAATGATTTTGCTTGATAAAAAGGTAACTCATATCTTTTCGGTATGGTTAAAACCCTTGTAATATTTTTTTTTTTAATTTAGTCCCATTTTAATTTTTTGTTTTAATTTAGTTCTCAATAATTTAAATTATTATAATTTGAGACTTTCGTTCAAATGATTTAAATGGAGTTAACTGTTAGTCACGTGGATGTCAGGTGGATGCCAAGTAGATGCATAAGTGGATGCCAAATTTCATAAATGTATCTAGAACCAGAACGGCCCGTTGTGCTTGCACATGTTATATGTTAATTTTGCAACTAGAACGAGCCGTTCCAAATACAAATTTAACACCACCATGAGTGTAGCAGAACGGGCCGTTCTGGTGTTAGAACGGGTCGTTCTAGATTCAGAACGGCCCGTTCCAGAACGCCAACTTCATGCATACGTTGACTAAAATGCCGCAATGTGATTCAAAAATTGAAAATAAAAATTCATAACATATCATAAATTCAAAGACAGAAACATGGTTCAAAAACTGAAAACAAAAATTCAGAACATAACATATACTAAAAAAGTTCAAAGAAATTATTGAGAAAGGAAATTATCTGGGTAACACTGAAGGGAAACCCTAAACCATAAAAATTCAGGTTTAACCTCCTCAAGAACAGGTTGTTATTGTTGGGGTACATCGTCAATGACTTCAAGGGGAAACACTGTTTCGTTTCATCCTTGACTATATAGTGTCAATTTGGTAGTAAGTGGTTCACTCCAGTTTGATTAACAATGAAATAAAACTTACTACCATTGTCCTTAATGATACACTGCATCGTCCTTAATGATACACTGCATCGTCCTTAATGATACATTGTATAGCCCAAATGTTTAGCAATTGAAGTTATCATTCCCCATTGACAATATTACCAAATCTAGTGTTTGAAATGCTTTGTACCTTAGGTCTTTTTTCTTGTACGATTCACAACCGTAAACTATAACCATCGACCATTCTGGACCAGAACGGCCCGTTCTGGTTACACTATTGGAGTGTTAATTTTGCATCTAGAACGACCCGTTCCAGGTACAAAATTAAAACACCAAGAGTGCAACCAGAACGGGCCGTTCTGGTTCCAGGTGTATTCAAGAAATTTGACATCCACCTACGCATCTACGTGACATCTACATGGCATTCACCTGACATCCACGTAACCAACAGTTAATTCCGTTTAAATCATTTGAATGGAAGTCCCAAATTATAATAATTTAAATTATTAAGGACTAAATTGAAATAAAAAATTAAAATAAGATTAAATTGAAAAAAAAATATTATAAAGGATGAAATAAAGATTTTAACCTTTCGGTATCAATATTGAAAATGAGTTTCTTACTTTGGAATGTTATTTTCGTCTAACTTGCTAAGATTCAAGCCTCCATAAAAAGGAGTTTTTCATTTTTTCCAATATTTGAGTTAATATCGGAATATGGATCTTTACATCTTATGTTATGTCATGCATAATTTATTCGTCACACAAAATGATTATTATTATTATTTTTTATCTATAAGAAATATTTTAAAGACGCAACTTATGATGTATGTATGTATGTGATGGTGATGATGGTATACGTGTCTCTCTTGTCAGCCACATTTTCTCCTTCTCCTCTCAAACTGGGCCATCACCTTGGGTTTCTTTTTATGGGCTTTGCCCATCAGTAGTCCAAATGGATCACTGTTCACATTTCTCATTTTGCTATTTAAACTCCCTTTCTCCCTTTCCATTTTTTAATCATACTGGTATGAAATTTCTATTATTAAAAATAATGACTATCTTTTGTATAAATATATACAAGATAAATATTTCTCCTCTAATATAATCTATTTCATACCTAATATTTAATTTTTGAATAATTTGATTAAAAAAACACAAATCATTATCACTTATTCTAATTAATTGATTAATAAAATTGTTATAAAAATTAACTATTTATGATAAGTGGTTTTTTTAATAAGTGGTTACTATAATCAAATCATAACAATTTTTTTACAACCATTTTTAAACATATTAAAATTTAATTTTAAAAAAAATAAAATGATTGATTAAAAAAATAGATGTTAAGAAAAATTTCTAAAATTATTATTGAAGAAAAAAAATTAAAAAAAAGTTTTTTTTTTTTTGAAGAATGATCTTAAAAATGCTTTCATTATAGATAATTATTATATTTTCTAAAAGAGAGAATAATTAAAACATAAAATAATTATAAAAATGCATCAAGTATAAAATCAGTTTTAATTTTTTTTTAAAATTAGTTTTGCTTATAACTTATTATATAACCAAATTTAGTTATAACCAGTTATATATATATATATATATATATATATATATATATGTATATAAGTGTGTATATCTATTCGATTTTAAATATAAAATTGATTATTTAAAATTATAATCAGTTTTATCAAATTAAAATGGTCATGTAAAACTAGTTATGGTCTGAGTGTAATAATTGCATTCATAAATGGTTATTAAATAGTTATGGTTAATTTCCTTTGACCTTAGATCTTCCCCTCCCCTCAAATCCTCACCCTTCTCCTTTCATTCTTGTTCACTCTTAGGTTTTTCATTTTCATAGTTTCGCTTGCTCTCATTACTAATATTGAACTGATAATTAGAACCTTTAAAGTTGATGTCCTCAATCATTGCGGATCATGGAAGGCCACAATTGGATGATCATTATATAAAATATATAATCATTCATCGTAAAAGGTGACATAATCCATTATGAAACAAGCTTATAATTGATTATACTACTATATTATATTTTAAAAAATATAATACCACTTCAATAAAAAAAGGATAAAATAATAATTGTGTATATATTATTTATTCTTACATAAAAAATTTAATTATATAAAATATAATTTTAAAATATTAATTTCACTCTATTAAATAACTACAAATTTTATTTTATTTCTTATCAAAACAAATTTTACTTATTCCATCTCATTAATTTCTTTCAATTTCTTCCTGTCCCCCAAATAAGTCATAAGGTTGTGGTGGATCATGGAACCAATATAATATAATATAATTAAGAAATAATTATATTCTTTTAAGCATATGATCAAATTCGATCTTTAAGTCATATGTATGAAAGAACATAGTTAAAGAAATAGTTTTTGACCATCAACCCATGAATATACTACCCATCCAAAAAAAAATGTGGATAACAATCACAAAAGAAGTTCCAATATTGTTCTTTTATTTTTTTATATATATATTTTTTGGAGGGTCTAGTTTGGATTTAACTTGTCTTTACATGTTGCTTTCATCATGATTAATCTAACGATTCAATGCAAATAGATCAAGATATCCATGATGTTACCAGGATATATAGGCGAAAAGACATACTCAAGATTACTCTGAGCATCCAAAATTGGAAGGCTTGTACAACTTCATGATTTCACGGAGGAACAACATTATTTTCAGCTAATACTAGACGAAGTGCTCATGCAATGCACGACCGTAGAAATTTTAAGAGGCTTTGTAATCACTAATCATGAAATAAGATGCTTCCACATTTTTGAGACAATAAAAAACTAATGCTTCCATATTTTTATCAAGGATAATACTTACATAGAGTGTCATCCGTACTATTAGTGTCATTCTTCAATCAAATAAAATGTGTAATAAAAGATTTTATTAAATATCAACACATATTATTAAAGTAAGGCTTCAATTCTGATCAAAGAGATATTTATCCTGGATAATGGGTATAGTTACATTATTTGGAATAATATATGAGGTAGACAAGCATAACATAACATATATATCAGCGAGGAACAATGGTGGGAATGACATCACTGACAAGATTACTTCCAGACACATAAGCATACTTGTGTTGGTCCTCTCTTGCCACATTAGATCCTAAAGATGATGAGGGTACCATTTGACCTGAATTATCGAAGGTAACATCTGGGTAACTAGTGTCACTTTCTAATAACATTGCAACAATATCTTCAAGTTCCCTCACCACATCTAGCATTGATGGTCTCTCTTCTGGATTGTCTTGGCAACAACTGAGGGCCAGAGTTAAAAACTTGTCCAAGCAATCAGATTGGTATAAACCCATTTTGCTCTTTATGGTGGCATATATCATGCCAGACCGACAAGCCACTTTAATCTGACAGTGATACCAAATTGTGTGTCGTTACTTATATTGCCTTGTTTACTTGTTATTAATTCCTTTCTACATGCTATGCAAATAATCAAATAACCAACAATTCAAATGTGAAATTTTTCTGCACATTGTACTTCCGTAATAACCTCCTATTGTTTAATATTTACAGCAATATCCGTTGTAGAGGATACACAGTGGAATATTTTTCAAGCAATCAACAATCAATATATTGTTGAAGGAGTGTCAGTGTCAGTTAAGGAAAATTAGTGTAAGAGTAGAAAAAACAGGAGGTTTATATGCAATTTTGCAAAATATCATACTATCAATGTAATTAATTTACTCTAATAAATTTTTCCTTGACATTTTTTATACAAAATATTTTTAGTGATATAGTGATCTAACATGGCAGAGAGAAACAGTAAAGATTACCTCGTTAACAATGTGTTTCCCACGTGATATTGGTTGCATGCCCGTCAAAATCTCAAGAAACACAACTCCTAGGCTATAGACATCACTTTTGTCGGTAAACTTATGAGTCAACACATATTCTGGGTCCAGGTAACCCTGCGGAAAAAATAGTATTGATTTTCAGTGCTAGCTAGGAAAGAATGGACTCAAAAATTGCAGCACCCCCATGTATATGACTTAATGATAAGAACAAATTAAAAGTACACCATAACATTTTGTTTTATCAATAGACATTGTTTATGCAGTCTCTTAAAGTTAACAATTAAAGATTAATCAATATTCGCAAACTTGACTTTTGTTAATTAAACATTATTTTAAAAATAAAATTTAGTTAGAATTTTTTAAATGTGATTGGTAATGTTCTCTAATCAAAATAATTTTTCTTCCGCAATATGTGTAAATGTATATTAATGAAATTTACATTAAATACAATGCATATTATTAAAATAAAACTTTAATTTTGATTGGAGAATAATATCAATTACACCTAAGAAACTGTATTAAGTTTTATCATTATTTTAACACCAAAGATAATCGATCATAAGCTTTACAAGCAACACTATAAGGGTAGGAAATGACAAGCCAGAAAAATCTCAAAATTGCACAAAAAAGTATATGTTGAAATATTTAATTTTAATAAGAAATTTCTCAATATAATTCTAGGCCTTAAGTATTGAAATCATTCAAAAAAATTCTTTGACAAACTTACTGGTGTTCCCTTCACAACTGTCGACAAGTACTTGGTACCACTTCCTTCTTCATATGGTGCAAGACGTGACAGTCCAAAATCAGCCACTTTAGCTGTAAATTTGGAGTCCAAAAGTATGTTGCTGGTTTTTATATCTCGGTGGAATATTGGAGGGTTAGCTTCTGTATGCAGATATAGTATGCCTTTGGCTGCACCCTTGACAATTTTCAACCCCATACCAAAATTTTGTCTTTCCTTGCTTTCTTCATTTTTACCTGTCAAGCATAGTATCTATTAACTTTGGATCATATCTTACATGCATCATTGACATCACTAAGATTATTGCTACTATCATGATTTCTTTTTTCAACATGACTGCCTCAAATACTAGGAGTAAACGATGAGTGTTTTTAAAAGCATTCATATAGATTGAATTTCTATCTATTGAGATATTATTTTTCCTCACACATCAAGCATAAAAAACTCACCAGTTGTGCCAATACAACAGAGTTCAGATTAGAGAAGCTGTTAAACTTACTATAAAATCCTAAACATTTCCCAAAATGATATTCAAAATTGCTTGAGCATATATAATATTTTTGCAAATGAAACCCAAAACTGGAGAGCTGAAAACATGAATATGAAAAGGAGATAATATGCACTAACAAAACAAGGTGGTAGATATATCTATTTATATTTCACATAGGCATAGAATTTCTAGTTTTAATATAGAAAATTCCAACAATTTCATACCAGAAATCCAGTCCCTTAGGGTGCCATTGGGCATGAATTCATAAACCAGCATCTGAACCAGCAGAAAGAATAGATGAGAACAAATTATTAATTGTAAACTGTCTAGCTGATATGTCAAAACATGTCTAAGAAAAAGATTACAAATTTCAAAGATAAGCTTTCTTCAATGTATTATAAAAGATAGAAACATCGAAGAAACTAACTACAGTCTATATTGACATAATAAGAGTATGTAGTCAGTAGTGACAGAATCAATATGGAAACCGGTTAGAGCATGCAAATCATGTGCCCCTTATTAGTGAACTCATCTCGCCTGTGACCAGGAGCATAACAGAACAGACACACCAAACCATATCAACAGAAAGAACAACAAAAGGTTTAAATAGACTAAAGGAGACAAACTGGATGCATATTGGTTCAGGGACTAATTGAAAATTTCTCTATCTTTTTAAGAAAACTGCCTTAATAGTTAGAGGAATGTACCTTATGCTATGGCATTCTTTAATCATTATTCAGATTCATGCACAACAAATTCAAATTCTTCAACAACACTAGTTTCAAGATAATACAAATAACAAAATTGTAGCAACTAATATATATATATATATGAGGAGGGTTAAAACGACACCGGTGTAACTTTTACTAAGTGTTACACCATTCAATAACTTTATATTAAATGCGAATTTTGTAAATGTAACCGTTAAATTAAAAGTTCATATCTCTTAGATTATATATACAAAATTTTATATTAATCCAAGATGATTTGATATTTTATTTTTATAAAACAAAATTGACGTAATATATTCATTTTAAAATACACTAAAATATGAATATTTTGATCACCTTCAAGTTGTTGTTCAATTTTAACAAAATTTGATATACACATATAAAGTTATGTGAACTTTCAATCTAACAGTTGGATTTACAAAATTCACATTTAATTTAAAGTTATTGAGCGGTGTAACACTTAGTAAAAGTTACACCGGTGTCGTTTGAACCCTCCTCTCTCTCTCTCTATATATATATATATATATATATCTTAAGAACGTGAGTTTTGACCTAAAGGTCAGTACTGTAACTTATATATTTTATTTTAGTCATATTATTAGTTGATGTCAAATCTTCAATACTAGTATATTTTGGCCATATCAGAATTTTGTGAAAAATACAAACAACACTCACATGATACTACCATACACCATAAAAACTCAAAATAAAGAAGGTGAATATCATAGAAATACATTCTAATTGACTTAAAAAGATAATAAAATGAATTACAAATATCCCTATTTATAGATCCTATTGGATTAATCATATATATAACTAACTTCTTAACGAACTAATATTATATACTCTAATAATACCTGTTCCTTTTCTTCATCACAATATCCAATGAGAGAGACAAGATTTCGATGGTGTAATCTTGATAAAAGTTCAATCTCAGTCAAAAACTCTTTTTGGCCTTGTAAGGAACCTTCTGCTGCTCGTTTAATGGCCACAAGTGTTTGTGAGTGCTTGTAATCGTACACGAGAAAAATGATAAAGGAAGAATTTGTGAAAAGAGAGAAGAAGAGAAAGATCAATAAAAACCTCAAGAATATGATTTCATATATCAGTACCGAAACATCTGAGAGTTGGTTATATATACAGTACAAACGACTAACTTTATCTAAGAGATAAGATGTGAAAATAACAACTAATCCTATATCTAATAGTAACTGAAACAACTATAACTAGATAAATATAGAATGAAGATATTATCATTCTATTTCTAATAGTGTTCCCCCAGATAAAATGCCCTTATAGACATTCCCATAACCTCCTTGGCCAACTTTAGTTGAGCTGCTAAAATTGTTTGTAGCAAGAGCCAATTCTTTGAGACTAAATTCTTTAACGTTGTCTAGTTTAATAGATACATTGGGGGCTGCAAAAAGAAATAGGCATTTAAATCCCGTTTTTCAAAGAAATCCAAAATGACACTGTAGCAGAAAACCTTGGAATACTTGCACCTACCTTTCTTGGATATCATGCGCTGGTATTTGCCATGTCTTATAAAAACCAGGAGAATGATTATAGCAGATGTTGCTAAAACACAAGCAACAGCTGCTATTAAGACAGCAACTAATATATCTATATCTGTACTACTTTTACTCCTCTTCGAATCTAAAGCAATAAAATGGAAGTTAAATTAGAGAAACACATACAAAAGTTAACCAAATCTAACATCAAAGGTTAAAAAGAGAGATTTATAACCAAAGTACAAAGAGGGACACAGATGATTTGGTAGCTTGTCTTTGTACGTGCAAAACATGCACACATACATTTTTTTTATTTATATATGATAGGTATATAACATTAAAAGTCAACATCAATATTTTCAACTTTGAAACAACGTCTCAAATCAAACCAGTTTCCAATTGTGATCAATATTTATATTTTTAATCCTTCAAAAGGAAAATTTATACTATTTTTATCTTCTTAGTCAAAAATGTATCACATTTAATTCTTAAAATATAGTTTAGATAATGCTTAAAAGTGTCATCTAGACCACTTTCACAAAAAATGGTAAATTTCTAAATATGAGGAATCAAAATCAAACAAAATATTTGCGATATTAAATGTGAACTTAAAATTTTTTAGAGACTCTAAAAACATATTTTATCTTTAAAAGAAGCTTTCTATTCTCCATAATAATATTGGTTTTTGGATTAGCTGTGAAAAAATAATATTTTATAATTTATTATTGATATAATTAATTAAATGAAATAATTTTTCATTTGAATATATTAAGTGAAAAGTGTTTCTAAAATATTATGTTTTGTTTGAATCGTAAATTTTTATAGCAAAAATACAAAAAAAAAGGATTACGTTTTTTATAATTTTTAATTTTATATGAAAAAATAGGTGATGCAACGAACATGTAAAGTAATTTTAGACTATCATCTAATCTAATAAGAAGTTATCATTTATTATGACAAGTTAATTGTTGACTTTTATAATAAATAAGTAAAAAAATTGTTTCAATAGTAGTATTTAATTGGTTAACAGGATAAAATAGTATATTATCATTAAACTCATTTTATATTTAAAATAATTAATTGTTAGGGATATAATGAGAAAAACAAAAGTTAGCTAAATAATAATAGTAGTCCTATTCAAATATGATAAGAGTGCATATGCATTGCCAATAACTTCTACAAGTAGCAAATGAAAATTCTTCTACAGAAATGTTGTTAAACAGTTCATGCATGTGATGGGATGCAATGATGCTAATATATACAACATGGCATAAATTTGTTACACACCTTAATAGGATGACATAAAAATGATAAAATTTGGAGATTAAGAAACTTAATTACCATTTGCATAAGGTCCGAGAAGAGTGAAGTTGAGGAGTTCATGTGGTCCAAAAAAATGATTGGGAGGAAATCGCCACGATGCAAATATGGTTTTAATGCGATGGATTTCACTTGCATTGAACATATGGTTGGGATCATTGTATGACGGAAATAGTTTTAGATACATGGTGATACGATATCCATCTTTCCAAGCATCTATTGATAACTGATAGTTGTCTAATTTTAAGGACTCAGTTATATATAATTCAAAACTAGTTATATAGGGAGGAAAGTAAGAAAAACTTGGACTTTTAAGCCTGTATCCAATTCTCAGAGGTGCTGCACAAAAGCAAGGAACTGGGGAAAGGGGTACATATTCATTATCCGGTTGACAATCTTGAATTGAACATACATTTGTTGGATTTGTTGGGTTTTGTGCTACTTCATCATCTCCATCTCCATCAGGTCCACAATATTGACCAATACTTTCTATGTTAGAATCCTTGCAGATTGGATTGCCAAAAAGCCTTCAAGAGAGAAAGGAAGAAATGATAAAAAATTTATGCAAAGATATAGAACATAGATACGATGACACAGACATTAGGATATAGCAAATTTTAAAATTCATAGGACATGACACGGATATATAATATGTAGATAATCATATAAATCATGTATAAATGGCAAAATTAATCATTCTTATAAAAGGTGATGACAATGGTAATAGAAGTGTGCAATGGTGGTAGTAAAAGCAAAGCTAGTGTACTTATGGTGGTGACCAGTAATGTAGTAACAATGGTATTTGTAATAGGAATAGTGGTAGTAAGGATAATTATAGGGGAAATAGTGGTGGCATAAAAAACCCAATAGCAAAACATAGTTGTGACAATATTTTTCATAATAAAAGTGAAACGCATGAAAAAAAATTTAAGCATAAATATATATGATATTGTGAACACACAATTTAAACAACAAAGATTGAGCGTATGTATTGAGAAAACCTTAAGATAACATTTTTCGAGGGGTTCAGATTTCCCAAAACATCCAATAGCGAGTTGTTTTGGAGGTTACTGCACAGATAGATAGGAAGAACAACATAATCAAAATACATTACTTAAAACAGTAAACTCCATGTCAAAATTGTTTTGTTTGATGCAATGACTTAATATTCCTTTAGAATGTAGAAGTAAGCTAGATTCAGAAGTTACATTGTAAGTTTATCTTTAGAATTGATGGCCCCGTTCTGCCATATGCTAGCAGGGATGGATCCAGACAGTAAATTGTTCTCAAGTGACCTGTGTTTAACAACAACAACAACAACAACAACCAAGCCTTTATCCCACTAGGTGGGGTCGGCTATATGGATCGAACGACGCCATAGGGATCTATAACAAATCATCTCTCTTGATAAGGCATTGATCTCCATGTCCTTTAGCACTGTTTCCCCTATAGTTTTTCGAGGCCTTCCTCTCCTTCTAGCTCCAACAGTAGCCTCCATCTCATCGACCCTCCTCACCGGTGCGTCAGCCGGTCTCCTCCACACATGCCCAAACCATCTAAGACGGGACTCAACCAACTTCTCCACAATAAGTGCCACCCCCACACTTTCTCGGATGCATTCATTTCTAATCCGATCTTTTATCGTGTGTCCGCACATCCACCGTAACATCCTCATCTCGGCTACATGAAGTTTATTCTCTTGTTGCCCCTTAGCGGCCCAACACTCGGTCCCATATAATATAGCCGGCCTAACAGCAGTACGATAGAACTTACCTTTAAGCTTAAGAGGCACCTTTTTATCACATAGCACCCCGGACGCCCTCCGCCATTTCATCCAACCCGCTTGGATCCTATGATGTACATCGCCTTCCAACTCTGCATCTTGCTGAACAATAGATCCCAAGTACTTAAACCTTGGGACTTTTGTTATTGCTTGCTCTCCGATCTTCACCTCCTGAGTTGCCCTTGTGTTTCGCATGCTAAACTTACACTCCATATATTCCGTCTTACTTCGGCTTATCCGCAAGCCATGTTCTTCCAGGGCTTGTCTCCATCTTTCGATAAAGCATGCATCGGGGAGGTGGCTCTTGGAGATGCTCAGTAAGCGCATCCATAACCAGTGTAAAAAGGTAAGGACTTAAAGTAGACCCTTGATGAAGTCCTATGGTAATAGGAAAATCCTCCGACACCCCACTCTGTGTTCTTATGCTAGTTTTGGCCCCTTCATACATGTCTTTAATTGCCCTGATATAAGCAAAAACTTAAACCCATTTGTGCAAAGAATTTCACTTGTAAAGAATTTCAAGATATTGTTATGAAACAAATTAAATAAATATTATGTGAAACACAGGTTGACAAGTATATTCTCACAAATTTTGGAGATTAGGGTATAAGAAGGTTGGAGGAATTGATCCATTGAGATGATTATTGGATAGATCACTGCAATAGCAAGAAAATTACTGCATCAAACTCAAAATTTTCATGTCTAATTGGCTAGAATTAAGCTAAATAAACTTTGTGAAATGGGGAAGAAAACGAAGAACATGATAGATAAAAAAATAATTGACTATTTCCATACATAGTTGTCATATTGTTTGCAAGTTTATTTGGTGGTATCTGTCCAGTAAACTGATTCCAGCTATGATCTCTATAACATGAACCAATCAAATTAGTTGGTAACTGAAACTTGAGTAACATTAAGCACAATATAATTATAAAGCAAAGCCACAAGATATACTTAAACATACAAATAGCTAAGGTTCGCTATTGAACTGAAATCAGGAATAGTTCCTAGCAGACTGCAGTTTCTCAGACTTCTGTTGAGTCATAGCCAATAAGAGAAATCAGAGTTATAGTATCATCCTACATTAAATGAAAATTAAACAAAAGGGCAAGCAAGTATTTCTAAGAATACATACAATTTCACTAGCATGGTTAAGTTTGCATATGTTAAAGGAATTCCACTCCCGCTGAAATTGTTGTTATCAAGCTGGCTGCAAGGGAAACAAATATGAAAATCAGAGACCATCCTAATTTAAAATGTAACAGTCTCACATTGTCTAATTACACTTTGTTTTGTTTGCTTGTAAATCGGAAGGGTAGCCCCTTTTGACATATCTGACCATAGTCGTTTACTTTTAGTGTTATAATTTTGTATACCAGCATGTAAATAAATATGACTCATCATAATTAGTCCCCCTGCTCCCATGTTCCATCTCGTGTTTGTTAGGATAATAACACTAATTTATAGTAGAATAATACTATATTAGTCTTTAGTTATCAACTTTTAAATATTGCATAAACATGTTCATAAGTAAAAAAAAATATATATGACTCACATAATTTTACATATTTTTTACTTCTTTTTCACTCATCCACTCTCTCAAAGTTCCTTCAAAATTTTAACTTGCAATGGAGTGACATTAATTTACATATTTAAATTCTTAGTTTTAATAGTTCTAATAAAACCTAATTCATGAAAATAGATTTTTTTATTATTTCATTCTAGTAAAAAATAGTATAAATAAATCTCTTATAATTTTTATTATTTAATTGTTTTATAAATAAGATAATTATAACTTAACAAATAAAGTATTGACAAAATGTAAGGATGTAGAATTGTTGGTGAGACTCAATTAATAACTTAGTGAAATTGGGTGAAAGAGGTTGGATCAGTATGAATTGCTTAAATAAAAAGAAATTAAAAAAAGTAATTTTTAATTATATGTATGTGTAAGGTCCACCTAAGAACCTGGAAAATACTCTAGGATAAAGATGTTCTTAGGAATTTATGTGTTATTTTAATTTTTTGAAATCGATGAAAATTACATTATTTAGGGCTATCAATATCCTGCAAATGCCGCATCCATCGTATTGTTGTAAACAACCTTTATCTAAATGATTATATTTTTATATCCAATAATATGAACACTTTCTTAGAGGAGTATCTTGATTCATTATGCATTTTATGCATATTCAATTGGAGTATGCTTGGACAGCTTGGTCACGGTTCTACATCAAACTACCATATTGTGGGTTTATTGATCTGTATCCAATCACAGCTTCGGCTCTCTATCCCTTTGTTGTTTTGTTCACTCTTAATTTTTGTGCTCTTTTTTAAATTCCACATCCACTAATGTATATAAGTGGAGATGGAATCGAAGAACAATTCTTATTTTACAAATTGATTTATAAAATTTAATTAGATTCATAATTTACTTTTTTAAGATAATATTAAAATTTATTTTAATGGTTAACTATTGTTAAACTTATTAAATCATATGCTATTAGATCATTATCGAATTATTAGTAGATATTCAGTCTTATAAACTTTACACTTAAAAATGTCAAATTTTCAACATAAAGAGAATTTAAAGACTCTTTAGTTTTCACAAACTTAAATATTTCTTTATCATACTCCATCAATTAACAAAGAGGAGATTTCAAGGATCTTCTTGTTTACACTACCATATTTAACTCGATGCAGGTGATTTCTTATATAACATAATTCACTTGTGTTATTTGTTTAACTATGTGGATATAATCCAACCATAATTCCTCATCCAACAATTGTTCCTTTATGTTTATTAATATTTTTTTTAATGTTTACTAATCTTCTTTTTGGAACATCATGAAAATTATTAAAGACGTGACTCTTGGAAGCCTAACAAATTAAAATTGCAAAAGATTAGAATTTATGAAAATAAAATTCATGTTAATTGATAGGATGGCCCTTCTTTTCCTATTCTTTAACTAGTGGTTTATTTAAATCATTAGTAGTTACGTTTTTCTTATGTTTTATATAAATATGATACTTCACGGTTGGATAAAATATGCCTTTTGCAGATACAATTTCCTCTTCATTTTCTTTACCCACTACATCAATGTATATTTGTTGTTATATATAAAAACAACAAATTGGTACTAAAGCTCTTATTCTCGAGGGATTTATGAGTTGAGAGAAACACAAATGGAGGGTGAGGCATACACATCAAGTCCACTACCAATTTTTGATGGTGAGGAGTATGAGTTATGGGCTGCAAGGATGACTAGTTATCTAGAACCAGTGGATCTTTGGGAAGTCACAAAAGAAAATTATGATGTTCCTAAATTGTCTGCAAATCCAATGGTGGCTTAGATGAAGAATCATAAGGAGGGGAAGATAAAAAGGGCTAAAGCCAAAAATTGCCTTTTTTTTTTCTACTGTGTTGTTGATTGATGACTATTGGAAATTAAAAAAAAAATTT